ATATCTCATATTTATCCTGTTAAAACATGGGCCGGAATTCAATAACACACATTGCAAAAACTTAGATTTAGCTGACCCAATTTCATTTCAGCGAACCTTTGCAGCAATTTTCCTGCTGTTGCTGGTGTTGCGCGGTACCTTGTCGGAGGCTACTGATGGACACGACCGAGGACTTTTTAATGGCAGTACCGAAGACGGAGAGCCCTGGAAGAGCCCATAACGCACTTCATAGCCAACAAGGCCATACTGATGCAGGAAATGCTGTCAACATTTCTGCACCAGCTCACGGCAAATACCCAAAAGGCTTGCTTTGCAGTCTAGCTACGACGGAACCTTTGGCCAAGCAAAACTATGATGGCAGGCCTAATAGGGGATATAACGCTCCTCCATTAGCCGGTCGATTTAGCTATGCGTTGCAAATACGTACAAAGCCCCAGGGTGGTTATTGAGGAACTGTCTCACACGGAGAAGCTCTTACAGTCCCTGTACCTTATGGAACCTTTAGCGGTGATCAGGATTCCACGCCTGTTCGAGCTTACGAAGGATCTTGTCACGGATCAAGCGGAGCAGGAGGTTACAGAGGTAGTAGTGGTCATGCAGGTTAAGTCATTAGGTGGTCATGCGACTATGGGGTCGGTGAATATCGATGGTAGCCTTACCCATTTTCATATTTTGCTGATCATGCTGAAGGCTCTCACCCGCGCGACGCCCAGGGAGATGCTTAAGGAGGAATTACTGGAGAGTATATAATTCAACAAACCGACGGAAGGTGTCCAGTCATCTGTAAATTTTAGGTAGTTTATTATAATTAGGTTAATTTTATTTAGCGGTAAGCTTTTCCTGCTGGTTGTTAACGATTTCTTTAAGATCTCTCCATAATATATTTTAGCACTAAAGCCTAAACACATACAGTAGTAGGTATATGAATCAGATAGATAGATAGACATATTAGGCAATGACTCTATACATATTAGACCTTATTTTTTTTATGCTAGGTACACTGCTGATGGAAGCGCTTACAGCGCCGATATTATTACTAATGAGCTCAAAACTGAGTTGAAAAACCCCGTCGATGTAACAATCTGATCTTTAGCACCAACCGGCACAGAAACTGCCCATCGAATTGAATTTGGTAGTAGCAGTCGATCGTACGCTGAAAACGCTGGCTTAACGCATCAATTTGTTCAGCAAAACAAACTGTGTGCGAGGCACAGCCTTTCTTACAAACCAATTCGTTCTCCTCAACATCTACTGGAGGCTATTCTCAGCCCGTTTCTGCTGTGAAATCTCCTCATGGAAGTTAACAGGGACACTACGACCAGTCATCCTATATTGGAGGCCACGGCGATATAAAATTCGAGGCACCCCATGACGGAGCTGCAGCTAACGACCAACATTCCGAGGCTTTGAAATAGGCATCTAGACGTCGAAACAAACTTCTTTACGGCTTAACAAGTCAGGAAAGTATTTTTATTACATGCAGTTTTGGTTTGTACCATATTGTTAAGGTCGATAATAGGACGTGATGACTTTCAACATTACTCGAACATGCCTATCTGTACACTTCTACAAATTCACATTTTTGAAAATGTTTTTTGTTGTTTTAGGCTGAACGTGATTGGTTCTTGAAAATGGAAAAGGTCGATTTTTTTGGCCTGGCATTGTACCTTCCTGCATAACCCGCCATCCATCCATCCATCCATTCCCAGCAACAAGCATTCATAGATTTCAGCAGTGTCGGTCGGCGAAGCTTTCCAGAGTCCTAAAGGGAACCCATGTCATTTTCTTACGTTTTTCTATATGTTTATAGTTTCCGCACATATATGTACCTACGTATTCTTCATCGAGTCCATCATCCTAACGTATATGATTTTTTTTCGGTTAACATTGCGCTGTCTTTGAAGGCGATTGAAAAATATTAGGGGTAAGGGAAATTAAAATCGTGTTCTTCACACTTCAAATCGATCTTCTCAGACAATGCGATCCTTATCCCGAGAAGATGCCCATTACCACGACGATTCATAAGTTAGAACGTAAAATACAGCAAATGTAAATTTCAACTATCTATTCTGCGAATATATCTACGCACGTATGACTGTACATCGCGAAACTTATATAACTTATGAGCTTTTGTTACTGCACATTTTTCGCATCATCCGGGCCGGAACGCGATACGTATCACCCACCACTCGGCCATCGCAGTAGTCTTAGTTATCGAAGTATATAACAGTCATACGGTACTCTGTCCTACTCAAATCAAGGATACAATTGGAACGACGGATGTTTTCTGTAATGAGCCCGTAAAAATGCTTAGCGTCTTGTCTTTGAATGGCAGCATGATTCATCTCCTCTTTGAGAGTCACATCAACGCTTGTACACACTTATATTCTGGATTACATCCCATCACCACGTGCTCGGTACGTTTTTGTACATTTGAAACAGTTCCTGTTTGACACATGCAAAAATCTGTGTTTCAGATTTGTTTATATTTAAATGGTTTATTATTACTGCCTGCTGAAGCTTCGATACTCCCAAAACACAATCCACATACCACTCAAATGAAGTTAAAGAAACTGAAGCAACTTAGAAAATATCGATGGAGTCGGACGGATCAGTTGGTCAGATTGACGAAATATTGTCTAGATGGTAGAAGCAACCGGTGTCTTGACATGTTCGGGTGATGGTGTCAAGAAAGGAAAGAAGACGGACTTATATATAACTTCGAAGTACATGATTTTGACAAAATACGTGAGAATGGCTCCACTCATGCCTGCCTTGACTGCGCGAATAGAAGCCGGCAGAGTTCATGTCCAGAGGACGGTACGAAGGTGTGGCGCAAATAAGAATATAAGTCAACAGTTCCGACGCTACTAGATGGCAAAACGCAGCGAGAAACGCTGCGGGATGCGGAGCTCGTATGAAGTTGAATTTAAGTTGAAGTTGTCTCGAAGTCGCGCTACCACTTGGGCTGTACCTGTACAGAGTTACCCAACGAAGTCAGTCTGCCTTTGAACAGTCCGATAGCACGACAGTGCTAGGCAACGGGAAACAATTACGACCCGGGCCCCCAACTACGTCTACAATGATGTTTCCAGTTTTAGTAATGCGTTATTAAATCATCATGCTTTCTCTACCAGTTGGACATTATCTGAGAAATTGAGTCATTCAGTAGACGACAAAACGATAAACTGTTGCATTACTTTATAATTTAAGCGTCATTTTTACGTCAACATCGTTCAAAGATGAGTTCATATAGACTTCGTGTAACAAACGGAAAACACAGCATATGCATAACTGTATATTATTGTTTTTATTAGGTAAACTGATCTTGTACTTCGTTTTCAGTATCTCGACGTTTCGCTGCACTGGGGTACCAGCCCGTCTCAAGGAGTATTCGCGTGCCACGGTCGCAGCTTTGCTGTCGATGATCTCATTATATATTCTACCTTCATCTTTTGTGTGTACGTATATATATATTTATATGCCTGTAAGATTCTAATTGTTTTTTTTTAAAAACGTGTACAAAATGTATGAATGTGTCGCAGGCACTTGCTTACAGATTAGGTAAGTGCGCCTTATCTACGGAATATACACGGTAAACCTATCAATGCGTCAGTAGCCTTTACACACTATAGGTAACTGAGAGGCAACGCTGCATTGTGTATGAATAATACTTTGTTTCATTATATAGGAATATATCTTTGGTTCCACTGGACACAAAATGTCGGCTCGCGCGTATGTACGATATCGGGGTTCGTGTTTGCACATGTAGAAGGCAAAACGCGTCCAGCACCAAGAAAAGTTGTCTTTTTTATCGCAAACGTCTTCAAGAGTATTTCATCTGGAATACCCCATCAGTGATCAGCAATGACAGGAACCCCTCTGATGATTCCGATCTAATACCATTATGTCACAACTATTGATCTTATAGAGTTAAGGCAGTTTTTCTAAGATGGGTCTTTTGTTTAAGCAAATTTTATAGTATAGCAAATATAATAGCGAGGAATATCATACATTCTGGAATCACCGTTTAGAGGTTTGCATAGATTTACAGCGATACGAAATGCTTGCATTTTGTAACGTAGATATGACCTAATTTACAAATCTACAGGTCGAATTTGGTCTCTTGTTATCATCGCTACATGTAGTAAATACCACAAATCATTTGAGGAGTGTTTGCAGAACGAAAAATGATTATCGTTCTATTATGATATCATTACGGTAGGTTACCTACGATGTCCATACACGTTTGAACATGTCAACAGGTTTGAGTCGCTAGCTACTTTGTCGCAGCGGTCTTCAAGGGATTGTCGATACTTTCCCTCTGCTGGAGAAAGGACGCAATCCCAAAGGGCCAAAACTCTCTGGGTAAGAAACCAAATGTGCGTTCGCTGAAAGGCTCACATTCGACCCACTCGCGAGGTCTGCACTCCTCTATTTTGTATAATGTACTTCATCTTGCCGAAAATGCTGGTTGGTGTACACACATGCAATGCTTCCAAAAGCGGTACCTCATGTAACTCTAAAAATATTTAGCTGACATTACAGGGTTCCTCGAAGCTAAAGTGTTTACCGTTAATGTAAAATCGCTATGCGAAACCCACAGAAAGGACTCGTAATAAGAATCTCTTCAAATGAATAGCCGTAATTACAACTATAGTTCCAATACAGGTTTAATCTGTAACCTAAATAATCACGGCCATTGAAGATATCTTTATCGATATTTACGACTGCGTTTAGGCATAGGCATTCTAGGTCTTGCTCGAAGGAGCACTCTGTTAGGTCGACGTGTCCTTCAACCAGCACGCGTTCTGTCAGTTCTCTGTTATGGCCTACTAAAATAAATGTACCCATTCAATATATGACCATCATCTTGTGTAAATCAGGTATA